AATATCACAGTAAACTAGGTTGACAGCTTTTCTTCTTTCAGGACTAGGCAGGTAAACTGTAATGTATGTCTGTAAGTAACCGTAGGACACAAAAGAAAGTTTTTCTTGAATCTGAGCATAAAATTTAAATCTGATCCCCACATCAGTAGAAAAAAAGTTGCATACCGACTTGAGCGTTGATCTTTTGCAAAGCTGCTCACTGATAATGTCAAAACAAGGACACTAAAAGAGTTTCGATCTCTTAACTCAAAGCAGATTTCATTTTCTCAATTTGCTGATAGATATGAAAGGGATTCACTCCCAGGTTACGGCTTTACCCATCACTACGCTTTAGTCCAGAAACCCTTGAAGACCTTACACACACAGCTCTTTTAGAGCTCTCCAGCCCAGCTGATTTCCTCAGTCAGCTGCTGAGATCTACTGAGATGTGCTTGTCTGCAAGAATGCCCCCATTGTCTCTCCTCCACAGCAACTGCAATTTTTCTTTCTCTTTTGCTGTCTTTGTGCCTTGCCCTGTACTGTGATCCCTTTCCCCCTGACCCCCACCACCCCCTGTCTCCCCCTTTCAGCTTCGCTCTATTGTGCTTGATCATTGCCGTTTATTTTTCTGTTTAATTGAATCAACAGGATCCCTGTTTTTGTAGAGGGTTTGGGGGGGGCAGGTAGGGGGTCAAGCTAAAGGTCATCACCCCTGACCCTTTGCCAATACCTGCTGGGCATGCTCTGTAGGTGATAGCTCCAGTACGCTTTGGGTTGTTAAGATTATGTGTATTTTGTTAGCTGTAATGAGAGACAGCTGGAAAAGAGGATTGCAATTTTCATTAAAGGCGACATGGACAATAACAATAACAGCTTCTCTTTTAATCAGAATCAGTGTTGCATGAATCCAAAGCTTTGTTTTCCATTTTAAAGTCTAGCATATAGTCAAAAGAAGACAAATGAGGACAAATAAGTGGTGGACTGCTATTTCAGTTATAATCGGTTGTGGCTATTGGCTGTTTTTGTTTGAGTGAGAAGCATTGTTTATACATTCCTAAAAAGGTATGTCTTATTTCCTTGGCTTGTAGGTTGATGTGGATTACTGTTGCTAAGTGTGCTGCAGTACAAGGAACGTCATCTACTGTCAGCAAAAGATCTGTGTCCTGTGCTGGTCCTTTATCCTTGTGATTCAGCTAATCAGAATGTTACCTTATATGTAAGCATGAATAATGGGTTTGACTTTATCCAGCAGTTTACATTAGCAGCAGCACATACATCATGGCGTTATGGCACTGCAGTTTGTGCATTGCTCTGAAACTGACAGGAAGCGTTGAGCTTCAGAAACAAAATGAGTGCCGCTATATGAACCAGAGCACAAACAGGAAAATACGAAAGCGTTTGTTGTAAAAAGTCAGTGGAAATTACCGAGTGCTGCAAAATAGAAAAACAATGTTGACATACCTAGCCAATGTGAATACTGCACTAGTTAAGAAAATGACTTTATCCTCAGTTTCTAAATAACATTTTGTATGTACTGTAGTGCCACTGTTTTAGGAATGACTATAAAACAAATGGCATGGTCATGATGCGTGTCTTTTGAGAAGTGGAGGATGAGTTATTATTCTACAATAACTGCCCCATTGTGTTTTGAGACAGTATTGAACAGCCTACTCTGTCCTGTGTGGCTGACTCTTGTAATTAATTGAGATAGTATTACCTCAGCACTAATTCTTGTCTTTCAGGTCTATCTTGCTTTATAGCTTCTTCATAAAGATGGAAGGAACTGAGCAAACTTAGAGGTGGATTATTGTTAAAGGTTTTTTTTGTTGAAAACCATTGCGAAAATGTGGTGATTCTTATTGCGCAAGCTTTAAGGTACTCTGTGTACCCTTACTGGAACAACAGAAACAACGTATCCAGCTGATCTTTTTAGATGTAAGAGTCAATAGATGAATCATATCTGTCTGCTTGGGTATTGCCTGCTAGGCCCTAAAGTTTTAGTGCAAGAATTTGGTCTGTTCCTTGAGCAGTGAGGCTAAAGAAAAAGACGTCCAAACCAGGGTTGTGGTTTGTGTTGGGAACAATTAAAAGCACAACAAAAAAAAAACTACACCGAACGGCAATCAAGATTTCCTTCCATGAGCTGAAAGCGAGCCTGATAAAGTTCAAGACGGGAATGGCACGCAGGCAGTTTTTGTTGATCTGTAATTACTGCCACATGCCTGGACCTATGTCCCATCTGCCTTACCTCAGGGTTGGAGGGGATGGGGGGGGTGCTGGGTGGAGTGTACTGCTGTGAATCCAGCAACCCCCTCCCTTCCCTCCTCCCCTCAGGGCCCACATATCAAAGTAAGAACCCGATTATCAGTGAAGTGTCTTGGGGGTGGAATAAAAATAGAGCCTGGGGATTAGAGCTGGGGCCTGGTTTGGATATTGAAGCTGTTCAGACAGCAATTCACAGTCTAGCGGGTGGTGGCAGTGGTGGGGGTTAGCACCTTATTAAAGGCTCTGCAATAATTACAAGCAATTATGAAGATTTTTAAATAAGCCGAGTCCCCGTTTAGTAAACATCCGCAGCCCATTGTAAACAGATTGTTTAACAGCTGTAGTTGGAAACACTTTTCGAGTTTAAATTTGTGAGGCTCCTAATTGAGGTTCATTAGGGGAAGTCCAGTGAAAAGGTAAATAATTGGACATAGCAGAAGACCTCCTAATTTTTACCACTTTGCTGCTGTTGAAAGTGAAATAAAAAATAGTATTTTAACTCTTGGAAATTCACACAGATGTATGAGGAATCTTTGAATAAACTTGAGCTCTTATTTTTCAGATTTTCAGCTTTTAAAGGTCCACAAAAAGTATTCTTAAGGTGTATTACATTGTCTCCCGACATAATGGCATGAAGACAAACTACAATAAATATCTTTGGCAAAATTGACAAATGATAAATATGGTCATTTCCCACACTTGAAACGTTTTAAAACTTTCTGGCTGCACTTGTTTTTGAACACCAGCAAGAAACATCATGATTCAACCTACCGAGAAAATGAAAAGTCAAACATTGACTGCGGAAAGTATAATATGTTTTATTTCATTGCTCTTTAAAGTTCATTTCAATTGTTTTTCTTGTGTAACTTGGTAAGAGCTTGATTTTTGTTTGAATAAAAAATCAAGCTGCAGATTCCCACTTTGTGTTTCAGGTACTGAAGAATGGATTTATTCCATTCTTCTTATTCTTATTGTTAAAATAACAATCCCCAGTAGAATTGGTGTTTCCAGTGAGTCCCTTTTCCTTCTTCTCCAGTTCTTCTGTTAATAAGTGTGATAGTCACAACTTTTCTAGGAAATGAGGATGGTAGATTTTGAAGAATCAAGAAAATCTTTTACTTAGAGATGGTTTTCTTTTCGGGCTGCAGTAATCATTGGCAGTGATTAATCATTAACCTTTTGGTTTTTCTGTTTGAATTATTGGACGGGTTTGTAGGAAGATGAGATATCAGGATCTGCATGTTTTCCAATGTTAATGTAAACACGAACGCTTTGTGGTTTCCTGCAAACAAAACTTTTTTTTTCTCTTTTATTCTCTCTCTCTCATACCATTAAAAGAAAACAAACTTCCACAACATGACAGTTTTCTGTTTTTTGTGAACTAAACATTTTTTAATGACCACAGAGAGTCAGGACCTCACTGTTACATCTCATCCGAAGGACTGCACCTGTACACAGTAAGATGTCCCCATCACTATACTGGGGCATTAGGACCCACATGGACTGCAGGGTGAGCGCCCCCTGTTGGCCCCACTTACACCTCTTCTAGCAGCAACCTTAATTTTCCCAGGAGTTTCCCATCCAGGTACTGACCAGGCTCACACCTACTGAGCTTCAGTGGGCTGCCAGTTGTGAGTTGCAGGGTGATATGGCTGCTGGCGAATGGTAATAGATCTACGAGTCTCATCCAGGTGTTTTTTGAAAGAAGTCAGGGTATCAGCTTCAACAACATGGCTGGGTGGTTTGTTCCATCCTCCCATAACGCTTTGCTTAAGCAACACGGCATTCTCTTTCCCTTTGCACAGGTTGAGAATAGGTTCCTTCTCTTCTGGCATTGAAATCTAATTCCTTCTCCCGTACCTCACCTGAAGGCACTGCTTTCAGTGATTACAGGGTGATCCCATCTCCCATCTCCCTCTTTCTAGCTGTTCTTTTCTTGGGCTGAAGCATCAGGAGATTATTAAAGATGACAGGACCAGCCCAGGGCAGCAAGAGATCAGCCTTCTACTGACCTGGAGCCTCAAGAGAACCTCCTCCTTTCCTATCACGAAAACCTCCGCTAATCAATCACCCTTCATTCTGCCCAGCTTAAAAAAACAACGCTAGCCCTGCCTTAAAACACAGCAGGCTATATGATGATCAACAGACAGCTGATCCCAGTCTTATCTGCCCTTCTCTGAAGAAAGAGCTTTTCCAGCAGGCGTCTGCTTGTGCCTGCAATAAACTGAAAGCATACGTTACTTGCAGAGGGATCTGTAAAACAAAAGAGATTTTGCTCTGAAATCTTTAAGTTTTCCAATACTTAAGTCTGTACATTGGTTGCCTATAGTCACGTATTCAGTACAAGAACTTGTTGCTGACTTTCAATAATCTGGCACAGACACAAGTATCTGAGCTCCTACTTGTTTACACTCCCTCCTGTTGGCTCCACTCAGTTGAGTCTGGTCCTCTGCTCACTGTACCTGGGACTAAATTTCAGATTTTTGGTGACCAGGCCTTTTCTGTCACTGCTTCAGTGTTATGGAAGACCTTCCTCACACTCGAGACCAGTTCTTTTACTCCTTTCAATTCCAAACTCAAAACCTGCCTTTTTACCAGGACCAATATCTTATTGCCCTACATTCTATCTGTATGAACCTGTACGTTCTTTGTATTCATTTGTTTATCCGTTTATATTTTTATTTCTTTTTACTGTTTTTTTCTTGTCTTTTTCTTTATCACTATGAACAGTGACCTTGGGTTTGGAAAGAAGCTAAATAAATACATTATTATTATTATTACGATCTCAGGCTGCAGCTCTTTTTAAATGGAGTTGTGTCATTGTAGCTGCATTTCATGTTTTGACATACCATTTTAATCTGGAGCACCAAAAATCTGATTATGAGGAACTATTGCACAACTCAAGGTGATGCTTTGTGAATATGGAATCTACCTGCTTTCTTGCTGAGGTTTAACTGCCCTTTAAGGTGATGCTTTTACTTCAAGCAATTTTGATATACAAATGTTGGTATTTTTATACAGTTGGGTTGGCTGGAGCAATCTGGGAGGGGCCACACTGCTTGGGGGTACAGCAGGTGAGACTCCACGTAGGATTTAGACTCCTGGTCTTCCACCCTGTCCTGGTAAAGTCATGCCTTTTAAACTGGGATACCAGTTGTGCCTGTCTTCTCTTTCAGCTCTTCTTAAACCTGCTGAGTCCTCTTTGATTAGCACAGAGAACAGAATTCAGATCCTGGCAGTTGAGAGAGCTGACGTCGCCATCTTGGATTGGCAGAATCCCATTAGCAGCTCCCAGTGTTTATTATGATTGGCTAGCCATAATGAACAGGAAGAGCTGGGGGTGCCTTGACTGCTTTTGCAGAGCAGATGTTTAGCTGGAGCCTCACAACTCAAGGCACTTAGCAAATCCTTTACTGCCGGAACTGTTCTGTGTCTTAAGCAGGTTGAATGGGGTTTTGTGTGCATGTAGTGTTTTTTTTTTCTGCACGCACATTTCCATGCTTTTGAATAGCTATTAAAGGCGAACCATGAAGGAGACAGGCAGGGTAGCCTTTGAAAACTTATCTGCCTGATGTGAAGTGAGATAGCCCTCTCCCCACGGGGAGCTTGACGCACTGCTAAAAGAGCCTTCCTGTGAGGCAAACTAGAAAAATAAAACTGCCCTAGGAGGGCTGGAAGAGAAGCAGGCTTTTGGTTCAGTGCTGCTTGGATGAAGAGAATAGCAGAGTTTTTTTTCACATTTGTTAAGAGCCAGATGGTTGCAGTAGAAACTGGAATAGCCCTGTTATAGCTCAGCTACAGCTCTGATTGTACCTGTGCCGAACTGTGGGGCTGCTATGAATGCTTTAGTTCCAATAGAAGTTTTTAAATCTGTGCCTGGCTCAGATATTCCCAAAATCACAGACAAGTTGCCAACCTTGCTGTCGTTGAGCAGATGTTTGGGCACAGAGGGCTTGACATTTCAAGCCGGTTGGTGAAGTTATTGCCATTTTTTTAAACAAAAAATCTTTTGTAAAAATCCCTCAGTTTTACATGTACTAGAAGGAAAGTTAAACTTATAGATTCTTGATTATCGTGAACGGCAGTGCATCACTCCATGTGAATGTGTAAAGGGTAATTCCACAGTGAAAAATAGAAAAGATAAACACAACTGCACTATCTGTTGTGTTAGCTTGTCAGGATAAAAAAAATAATTTCTTATTTATTATAATTGCTGCTTAACTATGCTCTTCCCGTCTCTCCTTCAATATTTTGACAGAAGTATTCAGCAGGGACCCTTCTTGGGGTAAACTGGTTTGCGAAGTCTCCTGCCTCTTAAGCCTGCACACTTGTTCCAGCCCCAGACTTTGGGAGTGCCTGCTGGGACGTTCCAGGTAGTTCTGATCAGTGGAGATGAGAACCGCTGCCACATCAGATACGGTCTGGGTGCCAGGCTGTACGTGCCAGCCAACCCCAAGATGCCCCCACGAGGTACGAGGGCATACAGACCAGTGCTGCTGCTGCAGCCGGACAGATGATACGATATTTTTATGATGGGTTGCTCTTGCGAGTCTTTTAAGCCTTTAACTGTCACCCACGGACGTAGACATGAGGGAATCATAATAAGTACCAGATTACAGCTGCTGGTGCTTCGGGGAGAAGAAATGTGCCAGAATCCAGGTTGTCATTTTTCTTCCCCTCAAATGAAATAATATCATATAACAGGGCTGTCTCTGCTGTCCATTCAAGCACGAGGACAAAGCCTACAGGCCTATAGGCTGGCAATACTATAGCAGTTATTGAACATATGTAATAACTACTACAATGGTGAAAAGCATTATTTCCTAATGTCTGATGGCCTGGTGTCGCCTGGGTAATTTTACACTGCTCTGGGGCAAGGGTATTGTTTACAGAGAGGGTAGATGGTTTATGTTCTCTTTATGATTCCAGTGTTCGAATTTCTCCTCCAGTTTCAACTATTGTAATAATTTTCATTAGCTCCAAAGTCACGGTGGGTCAGGACAGAAAGGGCACGCTTCTTGAGTTAAGCATTTTTCTATTTGCAAAAGTAAAAAATCAATTGTGGAATTATCTCCGTATTGCCTTTTTTTGTTTGTTGGCTGTTGTGAGCTGCTGGTGATTGTTAACGGCACGATTAAAACGGTGAGACGTTGAAAATGTAGGAAGTGGAACTGTGAGCGAGAGAGGGGATTCTTGGATCAATGCAATCTCTGTTACAGCTTCAGCACTTTTATTCATTGCGAACAATGCAGACTTGTCTAGGAGGAGCGCCAAATCACTTCAAAAAGAAATAAGCCACGGCTCTTTCTCTGAATATTGGAGAGAGGAAAGGCATTAATGCTTTTGATAGTGCTTCAAAAAGATGGCACATTTTATTTGGAATTCTTGCTACTGCTTGTGAAGAATGAATCTTCTTTTGTTTTCATTTTTTATGAACTCAAACTTATTTTATCAACACTTCTTAAATTGTCTTATGCATCTGTATGTCTGCTGCGCTAAGTGGGTGCTTGTAGAAATAGTAGAAATAGTACCAACCCTCGCCTGGTAAATTGAGATTTCTTCCCTAATATTTTACATGTTCAAGACACCGCCATTGCCGGGAAATGTGAATCATACTCATTTTGAGACAGACGTTTCATGAGAGGTCATGTGACATTGATGTGCAGGACTGTGCCAGCGCTGTTTGTCTTACTGGCTGCTGCTCCCTGATTTCATGCTTCCATTTGCTGAGACTGTTTGTTTGGCCTCCCGGTGGCAGGTCTGTTTTAAATTCGTTTGCAGGTGAGGGACTGCACACCCCTCTGTGTTGTCTCACCGCAGGGGAGGGTGTGCAGTGGCGTGGGGCAGGAGGTGGAGCACGTTTTTATTTCCATGCTAATGCCTATTTGTCCTCATTAGGGATAATTAATAGAGAGGCCTCATGGAGACTCTGCAGCAGAAGCCAGAAAGAAAGTAAAGCATTCCTGCAAGTTGACTAAAGTTGTCAACAACGTGGCTTTGTTCCTTGTGCCTGGAAAAAGGCTTCAGAGATCATGTTCTTACCTCTGCTTTAGTTGTATTCTTCTGTATCTCCTCTTGTTTTTTTTTTTGCATTGCATGAACTTCTAAACAACTTTAGCTCCTTTCAGCTAAACTGAAAATGTTAATAACCTCCAAAGCAGCCCCCAAATGGGCGCTAGCTCGTCGCTCGGGGAACCTGGCCATTGTGGCTTTCTGAGCTCTAATAATCCTTTTAGTTACACTTCTTTTGGAACTAAAAAAAAAGAAAAACTTTAATCTAGGATTGCACCAAGAACACAGGATGAACAGGAAGGTGCACCCCTTCGGCATAATTATAAACCCTCATGTCCGGAACATTATTGGATAAAGCAGGAGAAATGTCTTCCTTTGCAATAAATTCACTGGGTTTTTATGACACATTAGTGAAAATAGGACTAAACAGAATATCTAAACACCAGGGTTTAAAAAATGTTGTTGTTTTTTTTTCATTTTAAACACATTGCATTTACTTTGAAAACGGCTGCATTCACACTGAGACTTAAAAACTGCAGGAGAAAGTTACTTTAATTTATCCTGCATTTGCAGCGGTAAGTAACTAGATCTGAATTCCAAGGAGCTGAACTCTTTTGTAATAACCACAGCTGCAGTGTGAAGCAGCCTGCACTGTGGTCAAGCTGGTGGTGTTAAGGACAAGAGCAGACACGCAGTGTGTCTAACACTTTCAGTCTGAGCAGCTGCTCTGGCGGTGCTTCCGGACAGACAATCCCCTCCCCTCCTTTTTCCAATATGTTCCTGGAAGCAACCGATCACCTCCGAAGGAATTTTTTGCCACGGTGCCTCCTAATGCGTCCAGGCTGTATCTGGAATTCATTTCTTTCCCAATCGCGCTCAAAAGAAAATATCACCAGTTCCCAGGTCTTAATGAAACCATTCCTTTTCGAAGTCCAGACCATAAAGGGCACTATTTACTTTTTTTTCTCGATTTTTTTTTCTTTATACTTTCTGCCAACATGGATGAATTTGCCAAGTCAGGGAGGTGCACTGACGCAGCTTCTGCATGTAAGTAGATTTCCCCCAGAACCAAAGCCATTAATCGGTCTGTCAGCATGATGCACAAGCTGCAGTGTGCAGTTGTGTTCAGTTCTGCTGACTTGTTTGCCTGGTGGTATAGCTGATAAAAAGATCATTTGATCGCTGTGATAAGGAACCTTTAAAACTAGCACAATCCCTTCCTTTGTCCCCAGTGAGTACAGAACCATGGGCAGTGTTATGAGACAGTCTATGGCCTGGTGCAGCCTTCAGTGATACTGCTTATTCTATATTTGTTCCACCCTTCTGCTGCAGTTCCCTGCAACATGCATTGGAGTGGCATCATGCTGACCTGTTTGAAAATCCAGTGCATTAGAATTTGCAGTTCTAGCCAATGAACCCTTAGCTTTTTTGGTCCTTCAGCTTTAACCCCAGAGGTCATTGTTTTCTGATGGATTTTGAGATATTCTGACTACGGGAAGATGACTAGTGAGACACTTCAGGAAGTGAGGTATTAGCTGCTTGGTTTGGCCAGTCTGGGTTTGAACCTTTGATCTCCCAACCCTGTGTCATCCCACATTCCCGGCAGAGATCTTTTCACTTCCAAGACTCTAGTGTCCTTTGGTTTTGGTCTTTCAGGATGTTGTGCTTTGGCTTTGAGTTGCTGTTCGATTTTCTGGTTCATTTTTTCCAAGAAACTCCTTCTGGACTTATTAAGTAAGTGAGCAATTCCATGAACAGCAACTGTGGATGCCCTGTTGTTTTCCACAAACAAGAGAAAACCAACTAGGAAACTGGAATGAAACCGGAAGTTGTCTCCTGGATCTTAGCAAATTACCACCTAACATTTACTTCCCTGGGAGAACACCAGGGAATACATCTGACAAACTATTGTTCCCGTTCAAGATTTTCCTGACATTTTCCAAACACATCATCTGCTGAGATTTAAGCCCTTGTCAAGTCAAGCAAATATCTGAGTGCCAGAGGCGGGCAAAACATGTGTTTCTCTTTCTTGTAGCTGGCTTCAGCAGAACTACAAGCATTTATGTTCTGCCTTTAGGCCAGATTTTTCCAACCCTGATCCTAGAGAGCACTAATCTGGATGTCCTTACGGGTCACACTAAATCACCTGTTATTTAAAAATGGGGAAAATGTGTTTAAACAGTCAATTAGGCCAGTAGCCTTTCATTAAAGGAACACTAGTCTTTGAGGGCTCAAAGATATTCTGATTTTTGTTTCAAATGATCTCTACTTTATTTAACACACCACAGGTTCAATTAAGGATCATAGTTCATTTGTTCCAGGCCTTCAGAAAATTATTTTTTTAAAGGCTGTCTATAAAAACATCTGGACTGAGACTTCACCAGGACCAGGTTTAGAAAGACTTGTGCTTCGGGCAGTAATTACAACCATGGCCATTTAGTGATGTTCTTAGAATGTGATTTTCAAGTAATTGGCTAAAAAGGAAAACCTGCCTAACCGCATCAGTATTGACTTAACTTATAACAACTCCCTACCATTTTTAGTTTTTAAGTCACTGAGTGTCTTTTTATCTCTTTTTATCAGGTATTAAAACAGTAGGCGATGCTTGGTACATCATGAACCTTTCATAAGGTGTGCTATGTTATAAAAAACAAAACGCCAATCAGAAATAGTGTTGTAATTTTCAGGTCTTTGTCTCGTTCAGCATTTGCGAGCAGTCTTTTAAGCTCCACATGAGATGACGTTTAAAATGTATTCGCTGGCGAAATCTGACTGATGTGGTTTTTGCAGGAGTCAGAAAGAGGCTCTGAGTGCAGTTGCAGCATCCATGTTTCTCTGCGAAAGCATGTCTGTGGCCTTTTATCAGCCAAGGAGAAAATAAGATTTGCGCCTTTCGGTTTTACGTCATTGACCACAAAACTGAGTGAAAGCATCTCCCTCTTTCTGTCTGTCAAGAACGCTGCTTTCTGTTTTTTCCAGGGTGCTGTGATGCTCCATTTTACATGGGTTCTGCCTAACTGAGAGTGTAGCTCCGGTCGCCCTGCTTCTCAGGAACTCCTACCTTTGTTACGATTCTGGATTTGGGAAGGGCTTCAGCTAACACTTTGTTTTCCAAACAGTCAAACAGTCCGAAACTTCCCATTTAGGATGGGGGTGGGGAGGTGAGGTGTTGGGGGAAGGGCAGAACTTTTGTTATTGTGTGTGTAAAACCCTTTTCCCCAGGCAAAGCTAAGTAGGTAAGACAACCCAGGAAATCTAACTCCCCCACCCCTCCCCAACCGCCAACACTCACCCACAAACTCCTCTCTTCTGAAACATCACGTTAGAACAGTCTGCTGAGACCCTCTCAGCTTTTCCAAAACAACCTGCCAAAAGTCTGTTTACCACACTCTAATCGCCTTTAAGTAAACAGCCCTTGGGTCTCCCGAGCACAGGCACGTTTTCAGAGACTGAGGGGGCGAGGTCAGCATGTATTATGAGAGATGCACCCTAGGAGCACCCGGAGCCTCTCCTTCTGACTGAAAGCTGTCAGTAAAAGTGTGAACATCTGGGTTATTAAAAAGTACAAGGCGCTGCCTCAAAAAGGCGATCGCTCGAGAGATTCAGTAATTCTTGGGGTGTTTATATTGAGTTTGTTTTTTACTGTTTTCTGTTTGATATTGAAGGCATCCTAAACATTCTTGTTACTCTAATTGTTACTCTAATTGCATGAGGTGTAACTTTTTTTCCAACTGTCTGCGACGTAATTTACAGGTCTTGAAAACAGAATCCCAACCATATTCGGGCTTTGGGCTCACGTGCTCACCTTTGACTTTGTAGCAGAAAGGTGAAATTTGAATCGTGTCCTCCAGATGCACGAGACGAGGGAGGAGAAAAGAAATTTGACTACGGTTCATTTTAAAATGAACAACGCTCCATAAAGCATACCCATGTATCAAATCGTCTACCACACATATAGCAGGTCCCATTAAGTAAGCTTTGGGTGGCCGTTCTTTTCAAAGGCTGCTCTGCTTGTTAAGATATCAGTGGTCAAATCAATGAGCCGGTATGTGTGTGCATGATATTCAGGTTCTGTATTATTGGAAAGCTTAAAAAGCAGTCTTGAACTAAGTCTTTCTGCTTCACAAGTCCTGGCTACCTCCCCAACCACAAAGTACTTTAATTATTTTCCAAGTTTTAGAGCTCTGCTCCAACAATCGGTCAAATGACAAAACCAAGGGACTTTTTTCCCCTCTTTTCCTTCATTCTTCTTTGTAAGTTTGTGTAGCTGCTAATTGTTGAGGTCTACAATACAAACGCTTATGTCAGCTACTCCTTGAGTGCTCTTGTGTCACGACAAGCCTCTTAGTGTGATGACATTTTGCTCCCTGGCCTCTTCTCCCTCTCTTTAGGACTTTATTTTTTTCTGCAACAAAGGAAGGTACCTTGTTAGGGCTCAGCTCACTGTGGAATTGAAAAAAACAAACCCTCAATGCACTAACAAGCTCCTTCTGCTGCTGGTAATGAAATTACTCTATTTCGGGTAGAAGCAGAAGTTCAAAGTATAGTGCGGACTTCTCTTAACCCAGAAGACCACTCTCATGTTTACTAGGTAGTATTTTTAAGTATTTTAGATTTACCCTCTTTTATTTCCTGTTCAAGAATCCTTTGCTGAAAGTCATATGGTGTGTCTTTAGATCTTTTTGGATAAATGGCGTTGGTTTTGCTTTATTTTTTAATTTTAGACTTTGTGATTTTTCTTTGTTTCCCCAGTTTAAATGTGCACCCGACTGGGAGAGAGTGAGTCACGCAGACATGCTCCTCTGGTGTGCCTGCTTGCAGAGCCATTTGACATTTGACATGCTGCTAACTCCCTCCACTATGCCCTTCCAGAGAAGCAATGCCTTGAGGAGAGGCACACGTCTCGCTGAAGTCGCCCACTAGACAAGGGAGTCTCTGATTGCTGGAAAATTAAGAAAGCCCTGGTGGACTGGTGCTGTGGTGTTGCCCAGACAGCTGTATACCATCACGTCGAGAATCAGTTACCCAATGTCCTGGCTGAGAGTGGAACCTCATGACTGACATCTGGCATGTAGGCTTTTACTTAGTGAGTTACCTAGGAATCCCCTGACATATCTTCCTCTCGATTCTACTTAGAACTAGAATTATGACTGTTCATTTAGTCTGCACTTACCTGGGTCTATTTTGCAGTAGTCTGAATATACAAACTTTGACACTCCCACAGGTCACACATTTACAACACAGCACAATAGGCTTCCGTTAGCAGTAGTAACCTGGTGCTGGAGAGGATATATTTCTGGGTACTGTGGAGGCTTTTTAAAGTAAAACTTTGTTTTTGTTGTTCCGGTCACTTTTCTTTGTAAATGCCTTCCTTTCAAATAGTGAGATATTTTATAACAATGGATGCTTTTAAAGTGTAACATAAAAAACGGGTCTACCATTAGCATTTTGTATTGTAGTTTGCAGGTTCTTAACATGTTGCGATATTTGGCAGAATTAAATCTCTATTCTTCTATCATTCTCCGGCTAGTGTTGAGATGCTGGCTTGATATGAATAATATGGCACTGAAGTATTGGCACTGAGTATTCACTGGTCACTGGTGCGACCTCCATCACCTTGACATCAAAGCCTCTGCACTTCACACACTGGACAGCTCTCTCACGTCTCACGTCTGGGCAATGTCACCAAACGGGGCCCTGCAAAAACACGGCCACAGGCGTCACATGTTCACAGTTTGCCCCTGTTGATGGCTTAATGATGTGTGTTTGTCTTCTCACTCTTCAGCCAGCTCAAAGCAGAGCACGTCCAACTGCCCGTCAATCACAAGCCATTTGAATGTTTCATGGGTTCTGTCAGCACCTCTGCTCTCCATCAAAGGCCTCGTACCCAGGAAATCCTGGCTGTTTGCGGCTCTCGGTGCTGATCACACATGTGGCCCACAGCAGAGCGTCTGACACCGTGGCTCTCCTGCTGTACCTGTGAGTTGTCAGACACATCTGCTCTGCTGTACTCGGGTGTCAGCACCACTGTGATAAGAGGAAAGGCTCTTCTTGCTGTTTTCTGTCCAGTGTTATGAAGGGACACAAAACCCCATCTCTGTGCCTGTGAACAAGTTTCAAACACTGTTGTCTGATGCAGCCAGAGCATTTGTGTATCATGCATCAAAACATCCATGCATGAGGACGATATGTCTGTAGCCGTCATAAGATATTGTGAGACCGGACAGTTTCACTCATGCTGTTTTTGAAGTGGAATGTCTCTCTCCATAGTACAGTGTTTGAATGTCATGATGCCTATGCAGAGGCTGCTGTTAGGAGGCAAACCTGATATTACATTCATATGGTTTTGGGGGGGGAGGGGTTGCTTACTCACAGTCTGTTCCTGCTGAATTGCGCACAGTCCTGTACCCCAAGATCACAGTGTCATTCCAGGGGCCTTCAGAAAGATCGTGGAGGGCTGGCAACACGAAGATAAATACACAAAATTTATTGTTTCAGGTGGGCAGGATGTGAGTGTGGCCCTAACAAAAATGCTAGGTGAGACTTAATAGAGAGATATCTTATTTTATCAGTTGAAGATTTAATTAATGTAGTATTTTAAGAGACTTAAAAATGCCATACATTTGCCTGTACTTGACTTCAAAGTGGCGTGCTGAGCTCTCTCTGATTTTTGGTCCGATGTGCACTGTTTCCCCATCTGACTCTTCATCAGCACAAACTCTGAGAGTGAGAGTAAAAAGGCTAGGCAGCTCTTTGTGTTAGATTTCCAACACATGTGCTCAGACAGTTAGAGAGTGACAAGTCAGACGGAGACAGGCGGAGAGATGACGCTGTGGGGTTAAAAGTAAGAAGAGGTCTGGGCCGGGGAAGTTAAAGCCTGAGAAAGTAACACAGGGTTTCAGGATGACTGGTCACTGGGACATTCCCTGCTTTTATGCACTATTTAGTAACACTGCGTTTCTGATTAATTATTGAGACCAGCTGGGCCGGTTCCTGCCATTCTGACAAAACCCATCTGTCTGTAGATGTGTGGAGGGGCAGCCATGTGGAGCAGGGCTCAGGGTTCTGGACCCGGAACTGGAGACTTGTAAATCCCGGGTGAGACAGTGCTGCGGTACCCCTGAGCAAGCAGCTTCGCCCCAACAGCTCTGGTGAAATTCCCAGCTGTGTTAGTGCAACTGGATTAAAGATTTGGATTAAAGCTTCAGCCAGAAAAAAAAAGTAAGTTAGTTTATATGCAGTATATGTTGCATTGGTCTTAAATAGTAACTTGTGTACTTAAGTGCTTGATATCTCTTGTGAAACTAATGCAGCACATGGTGGCTTGAAACAACAGTTCTTCAGTATCATGGTTTTAAGCACATCTCAGCTTTTCTCTTTTACACTTTTAAACACATAATTATCATTTTAGCCGCGGAAAGCATAGAGGTCTTATCTTGCAGTGTGTTTCTAGTCTCCAATTTTTTTTTTTCAATCTTAGAAAACTGAAGTTTCATGGATTTCTCTGTTTACAATGCCAATACCTCACTCTTATCGTTTGCCCAAGCTTCCGAGACAAGTTTTCGTTGTTAAACACAGGACGAGCGAAGCAGCCATCCGCAGTGATTTTAAACCCTTGTCTAGTGTGACGGCGTACATTTCCTGAGTGAGGGGGCGCCGGCACAGTGGCTGTGGAGAGCAGGTCGCCCGACACGGTTTTTCACTGTTTCAGTTTTCTCCGGGGCGAGCATCCGCTCACCACGCGAGTTGGGGACAGGGGGCGGTTTCCTAAAAAAGACCCACCTTAACAATAATCTGGGGACCTTTAATAGGAGCCTTTTTCACACCTGCGGCGGTGAAGACGCACATACCAAACTGAAGAATATCGTCACTTGCTGTAACTGTCTTTCACAAATCTGAAACAAGGGGTCGGTTTGCGGCAACCGGCATCTTAAAAGTCCTTCCTACGGATCGTAAAGGTTGTGTCAACAGCTGGATCTTCGAGCTTGCATTTTGACTTTCAGTATTAGTAGTTGTATTTTCAACAACTGATTGAGCGTCAGGCTCCACATTCCTGCTGTACCGCACTTCCTAAGTGACTGTTAGAAGTTCCTCCACAGCGCACTGCGCGGGTCTCTGCTGTACACTGGCGTGCAATTCTGGTTTCCGGACAGCGGCTGTGTCAAGTTAGCATTTTTTGCATGTCAATTTTATATTTGTTATGGTACGTTGTGCCCACAGTAGTATGTTCATGCCCTTTACCTCTACATAGGGGCTCCCAGTCTTGGTTATGGGGACCCCCACACCCGTTGGCTGAGGTGTCGTTTAGTATAACTGAACCCTTAGTCGAAAGAGGATGAACAGGGACTAATTCGAAATAATCGGTTGTGTTCAGTTCTTAAACAGGCGGAGGTCGGCTCTTAACTCTTACGTTTCTTTAGTAAATGAATATGTCCGACTGTTTAATAAGGGGGAAAAACTTGCAAAAGTGGCAGTCAAGCATCATAATTCGTTCATTTCGGGATTTAATAAATGCAGGAGGGGGCTCGCCTGCCGGGAAAGCCGGCAGGTGCAGGGGGGACCCCGGGTAAGGGGGTGAACTCGGTTTAGCCGCGGAGGGGGAGGGCGGATGTTTAGGTGCGGGACTGCAGGCATTTCCGGTGGAGTGGGGACGGGGGCGTGGCCCCGCGAGCGGGCGCACACGGTTAAAACCACACGTGTGGCTCGGCGCTGACAGAAGCTGCACGCCGAGGGGACGGCGGGGCCACGGCAAAGCGGAGAGGGTTTGGCGACCGAGAGAGCGGCAGCGGACTGGCTAGGATGCCGTCGTACGTGTTCGCCCAGACTTTTGAGCGCGACGAAGTTTTGAGCAAGGTGGGAATGCTTATCCCCTCCCCCCCGTATTCGACGTTCATCCGTCTGTCCTCCGGAGTGAGTGTAGAGATAGAAGACTGGTGAGCACCGAGGCGGTGGTAGGGCAGTTACAGCATATGCCTGTGTGCAGGTGTGTGACCGGTGTCGTGTTTGTTAACGGCGTTTCCCGAGGCGTGTGGAAATGCCGGTAGTCGGTCAGCTTGTCCCCGGTAAACAAACTGATACAGTTAACAAAAGGCGTGAGGACAGGTTAGAAGTTTAGAGAGATTGGTGAGAGACGGGTTGCGTTGCTGAAAATATTTCCGACTTCTCACCATTTGGCACGATGTGTCCGAATTCCGTCCTATTTCGTCAGTGCTTTGTGTAGGGGATGGAAACGTTCTTCGACTTGTTCGAAACTCCAGATCCTTGGGCTGTCGTATTTCGTCGTGGTTGAATTACTCTAAAAGGTTGATACAAAAAAAGTAACTGCGGCACGGTTTCTTATCGAAACATCTTTTTCTCTCATTCTCCGCTGAAAGCTTGTGCACTGTACACCGCTGACGTGTGACTCGTCCGTCGTTATCTGATCGACCGCGGTCATGAGTCACTGTTGCATTTTTACAGAACAGTTCCCAACAGGAAAAAAAAAGTTCCAGTGCACTGTACATAAAATATATTATTAAGGTTTGTAGATGCGATCACTTCTGCACACGCCTTAATATTAAGGCCCGGCGCGGACAGGCAATGTATTGAAAAGCTTTAGTGTCTCCGGTGTGTGACCCAAGTTTGAGCCAGAACTGTAAAAAAACCCCACTCAGGTTTGTCTGCAGTTGTCGCACTCCCCCGCTCCAGGAGGCTGCTGGAGGTGTCGTGAGCTCTGCGCCCCACCCACCAATAACGTGAGACTTAGCGAGTGTCGGGGTTAAAGTTCACGGAGCCGTTGTTTATATGATATCTTTGTACTGCATCCGGATTTTCTGAGCTGTGTAACACCCCCCCTCCCCCGCGCTACCAAAACCTCGAACGCACTATTTAGTCTTTTTCAGACCTCTTGTAGAATTTTTAAACTTCCGTTTTCAGTCTTCAAGTTCCAGCTGTGAGTCCAAATGAGGGGGAGTATCATTCCTTTAAGCAGGGTGGACGGTGTTCTGGCACATCGTTTTTTTTGTTTTTTTTTAGCCCTTTGTAAATCAGAATACAGGACTTGCAGCGAACTTGATCACGGTTCAAGTTTGTTGCTGATCAGCCCCCTTTTTCCTCCTCCGTCCATGTGATTGCATGATGTAGAGCTGGGGGGG